ATTCCTGAGGCTGGTTCACTTGACCGCTAAACAACAACGCACCTGTGAATTTAAACCGGGGATATTACTATTAAGGGAGACAACCAACAGACAAACAAACCAACAAAAACCTACACTGACACCTATCCAGATAAAGCAAGCAAAATTAAATGCAATAAGATGAAAGCACACGAAATGAAAGCACAACTGACCAGTGGGTTTGTGCTGAATAAGGAAATAGAAGGGTCTATCTAGTTTGATCTCCTCAACAGCCATGCGAGAGTAGATGACAGCCGCTGTGGAATCACAGAAAAAATAAATAAGTAAAATATGCATTTTGGTTTCACTATAATGACAGTTAAATAACTGTTGTAGTGTACTGCAATTCAGTGTCTGTACCTGTGGCAGATGAGCCTTTGGTTCCTTCTTCATTCACCTCAAGTTTTACCCTCTGAAGGACCTTGGATACACATAAAGGTTCCTCAGCTAATTGTACAAAAAGAGAGAGAAACAACTTTATTAGATTTATCAAAAAAAGAGAATCCATCAACATTTATTCTTTAACACAACAGCTACAGCATTGCCAAAAATGAAATCTGACAATTTCCAATACTCACTGGTAATGCGAGAGAAATCAGCTTTGCTCTGGCTGAAAATGTCTCCAAGACCCATCTTGCTCAGTGTGGACTTCAGATCAATTTCTGTATCCATGGAGAACCTGAGATATCATCGTTATATAACACATACATTAGGCTTCGTGTTTTAATATGTTCATCACAATATAAAAATCCTACACAGGTTCACAGAAATAGATGCGCTACCTTGGAATAGCAAGTTGTTTGTTAATCTTTCTCATCTGTTTTCTCCATTGGTGAATCCTGCTGCTTCTCAGCTCTTTGTTCAAGGCCAAAAGAGGCACATCCCTCTCAAATGGTATCACCAGAAGCATACTTAGTGACTCCCCCTCATAAGGCACCTCAATGACATCGTAGTCCACACCGTCTTCAGTCACAAACTCACCTACATGGAGAAAAATTTTGTAAATAACCATTACAAATTTCTTAATTTTCTCATCAGTTCCTTTAAACAAATCGTTGACACTCACCACAGTTGAATTTTGAAGTCATAGTCATCATAGGAACAGATACAGCACTGCCGTTGACTCTGTGGAATAGCTGTTCCCTAGTAAGTTTAGGGTCAAACGGTGTCTTCCAGACCCCATGGAAGTGGAGGGCATTCAACAGGACCAAGCGTGTCAGTTCACTCAACACCCCAGAGGGGAGGAAGTCAGTAATCATTCCTAAGAAATGAAACCAATAAATCAGTTAATCGTCTTGTAAATGTGTATGGTGAGTGAGTTTACATTTAATCATTTAGCAGGCATTTTTATTCAAATTGATGTAGAAATGAGGAACATCACAGGCAATGTAATCAAAATAGAAGTGACTTTAAAATACTTACCACCAGTGTGGTCAGATGTCCAGGAGTTGATCACCTGCCGGGCCATCTCTGGTTGGCTGAAGTCTATTTGGTGAGGGACACTCTGGAAGGCTTTGGTCAGGCTGCACCTAAAAATCTTTTCCAGGACCTCCGCAACTATTACAAATGACTGGAGGTCACCAGGTAATACTAATCCCGTGCGAATAGGGCTTAAGCTGTTCCAGAACATAATAGAATTACATCAACTGCTCTCATTCATCTACCTTGCAGTGAGTAGCCCATCTTGGAGGTGAGCATTTGAAGAGTGCTGCCATAAGCACCCAGCTGAGCCATGCCTAGCACTGAAGAGATGCCATAGGGAGAGAGAACCAGATTTCGGTCCGGAGCAGATTGGATGGCTTCGGAGAACACCTGCAGCCCAAAATCTGTCTGTTTCTCCTGCATAAGGTTGCACAAGCTTGACCCACAAAGGGTAAAGATCAGCAGTACACTCAGGCTCTGCATTCTTAATAACTGAGGAAGACAAGAGAGATGTCAGCTGTCAATTGTAGATAGAACAGATTTTATGAAACAAAGAAAAAGCTCCATTGGGTTTCTTTCCCCCCCAAAAAAGAGAACAAGCTGCTTCTTTACTTTCCCTTGTGAAAATTCTCCCTCATGTGCAAGACACAACACCCACCATTCAAACGCTATACCATGCCATTTCTGTTTGTCGATCTTGACTCATGCCTCACAGAATAATATATCACTTAAGAACATTTGTCTTTAAACACTTATCCCAATTTTAAGATTCATAACTTTATTCTGTGTATACT